GCTGACCTGTGCTGCTTCTTTCTCTGTGTGTGTGTGTGTGTGTGTGTGTGTGTGCGTGTGCGCGAGCAGGAGGTGAGGGAAAGGTTGGGAAGGTGGTGGATATTCGTGGATGGGATCAGGAATCGGGTCGTAGCGTGGCTAGTGTCACCTGGTCCAGCGGAACCACAAACGTCTACAGAATGGGCCACAAGGGCAAGGTGGATCTGAAATACGTGTCGGATGTGCAGGGAGGATACTACTACAAGGAGCATCTGCCAAAATTAGGTAAGAGCGGCTGTAAAACACAGCCAGCGAGTGTGCTTGACAGTGACCTGTAGCTCATTAGAGTTATTTATTTTTGTGTGTCTGTGCGCGCGCGTGCGTGTTTGCGTGCGTGCGTGTATATGTGTGTGTGTGTGTGTGTGTGTGTGTGTGTGTAGGACGGATAGCGGAGCTGCAGCGGCAGGAGAGTGCAGACAGTCACTCGTTCCAGCAGGGTGATAAGGTCAAGTGTCTGTTGGAGATGGAGATCCTCAGACAGATGCAGGAGGGTCACGGCGGCTGGAACCCAAAAATGGCAGAGGTGGAAATCAGTTGTTCACTTTTTAATAAATGTTCCTGATTTCATCAGTGCACTTTATTTCAAAGAAAATTTTGTACCTGTGTGTTTTTGTAATTGTAGTCATGAGTTGTTTTAATTATTATAAATGTTGTTCATAATAACTTTCTTCACATTTAAAATGTCTTTGCATTGACTTGTACATGGACCTTGGCCTCTTTTTATGTCTACACTGGTGTTTTTAAGAAACCAAACAATGGAATTTAATAATAAAATACTTTATTATTATTATTATTATTCCTAAGACTGTAATCTGTTACTTATGTAATACTGCTGCACTATAAATTAAAAGTAAATGTAAAAATTTGTATTTTATGGTAAGCATATTCATAATTTTTTATAGAAAAATTGCAATACTTATATCTGAATATCTTCACTAGTGAATGGTAAACCCTTTCTTTTTGGCAGAAAACAGGTTTACAAACACGTCATTACAAATCTAGTGAAGTGATAGTGTGCTGACAAAAAAATTATGAAAATAATGCAACATTGCAAAAAAAAAAACAAATTCTACTTTTAAAAAATTTTTTTTTTACTAATTTTAAAATAATTTTGGTGATTTATTTATTTATTTTTTGTGTGAGATTGACCTATCAAAATTAGATTTACAACATGCATCTTACAGGGTTTGTCAGCGTGAGCATTTCACTCACATTTGTGACTAAAAATACATGTGTGCAAACTCTACAATGTTTCTTAAGATTGTATAAAAACAGCTTACTTGTCATTTTAGGGGGTTTTATCATTTGGGGAAGAAAAGTCCTGCAATATGCATAGTTTTTTTTCTGGTTAATATTGGTAATTTGATACCACACAGTTTACACAAACTATTTCTGGAATTGAATTCAGTGTAAATGTTTTCTAAACTACATTTGAGGTTCGATTCTTGTCACCCAACGTCTGCGATGTCAAAATATTGAGAAAATCATCTTTAAAGTTGTCCAACTGAAGTTCTTAGCAATGCATATTACTAATCAAAAATTAAGTTCTGATATATTTACAGTAGGAAATTTACAAAATATCTTCATGGAACATGATCTTTACTTAATATCCTAATGATTTTTGGCATAAAAGAAAAATGTATAATATTGACCCATACAATGTATTGTTGGCTATTGCTACAAATATACCTGTGCTGCTTATGACTGCTTTTGTGCTCCAGGGTCCATTATTTAAAAATGCACGCGGTAAGGGTTTTAAACAAGATGTTTTAAAAAAATATATTACCTGAATGTATTTTTTATTTTTTTTTGTCTAGTATTAACCTTAAGTGTCTTCTATAGCTTCTTTTTAATTATATGACTATTGTTATTCTGTTTTCGATAGAAAAGATATCCTTGCTTCTGACTTGGCATTAAAAGATAGATAGATAGATAGGTAGGTAGGTAGATAGACAGATAGACCGACCGACAGACAGACCGACAGACAGACAGGTAGATAGACAGACAGAGACAGACAGACATATAGACATATAGATAGATAGACAGATAGATAGATAGATACATAGACAGACAGACAGACGGATAGAGAGACAGACAGACAGAGAGATAGATAGATAGATAGATAGATAGGTAGGTAGACAGACAGATAGATAGATGATAGACAGACAGATGATAGACTGATAGACAGATAGATGATAGACAGACAGACAGATAGATAGATGATAGACAGACAGATGATAGACTGATAGACAGATAGATGATAGACAGACAGACAGATAG